TCTAATGACTTGACTACTATCTTCTGAATTTCAATTTTACTGACACAAAATTATAGGAAAAAGTTCTCGAAAAACATCTTTTTTCAAAAAAAAACGTTCACTAAAAAGGTTCTATTTGAGTTTTATAGAACTTAACTGTTGTCTTTCTTACCTTTACTCTTGCATGCAATGCAAGTTTAAATTTCAAATTATTTAGTAAAACAATGAGCAAGTCTATCAAGCAAAAATTATCCAGTTCAAATTCACTTACATGCATGTGTTCAAATAATTATATTATACGTTGTAGATTTAATATATACATGTAATTACATATGTTAAACTTTCAAGTATTCGATGAAACAAATTGAAGCATTGTTAAAATAAAACTATATACGTTACACAGTTGACAATTAACACTATTTTCATTATATGTTAACGCTTAGATGGCTTGATCTTCTAAAAGCTAACAATGAAGATAACTCGCTTTTTTTAAAGCACCAAAATTTCTATTATAAAACCCCGAATTTTTAACTGTAAAAATTTGATAACTATTGTGAATTCTGTCAAAGATGATGCCAGACGATGGGTCAAATATGAAAGAGAATACCTTCACACTTTGTCAAAATGGATTTAAAGTATCAGATGGATGTTGATATATCATTTTCAAATGGTTGAGGGGCAATAAGAGAAGCCATCTATCCTTCCGTCTTCAATAATTCAGAAGTGATAAAGAATGATAGATTACACGATCAATATGTACTGGTTCCAGCTGGCAAAGCAGGTAACAATTTCGTGTACATTTTAGAGGAACTTGGATTTAATTCTACAAGTAGTTATCAAACTTATACTTCAAAAATTCTTCAAAATTATATGTTAGTTTTGAATGTTTTTGATACTTCCAATATCCGAATGAATTAAATTACTATACTTTACTGGGTTTCTTAATTTTATAAGAAAAAAATGTAAGATAAAAAAAAAAATATAAAAAAAACAAAGATACAAAGCGAGTTGTAGTAAATGTTCTACCAAGCCACCTTCATTACTCTTTACCAAAATATTAACAGCAGTGAAGGAGAAACTTCAGGAGTATTGTACAATAACACATTCTAGAAGTGGTGTTTATCAGATGTCAGAAGTGGATTTTTTCAACCATTCCCTAGGATGAATTAAAGTTCAGACTTTTTGACATCACAGACAATTGCTTCTTCAATTTGACATTCAGTTTTATTCCTACTATCCCATTGAACTCGAAATAAAAAGACACCACAGTCTGACAAATCTGTTTCATATCTGGATGTTTTATTAAACTAAACGTTATGAAAACGTGATGACTTCAACTTTTCTATTGTCAGTTTCCCTTACTTATGTAACAATATACCATTATCACCTGCATATGAAGTTTATACACAAGAGCAAGTTCTATACGTACGAACAATTTTTAAAATGAGGAAGGTTATTGTCAAATAAATTGATGATACAAGGATATCAACAATCTCGTTTAAAGTCAATATTCATAACTTCTATGGTCGATACAATGGCCTTGTTTGCAAATACAATCTGTCGTTAAGTCGAATATTGACTTGCATCTTTTATATTAATTGTTAGCCATTATTTTCAAACTGAATTTTCTGCAATTTTTTTTCCGTTTACCCAATCATGAAAACAAGCACACGATCGGTCGACAGGGAATGCTTACTGCTCCATGACATCTGATCCCAGCTCTGTTTTTAGAGGTCCGTGTTTGCTCTGCTCATGATTTTGTATTACTTAAGTGGAATTAAGCATCGAAAAGAAACAAATACTACATGAGAAGATGGAAACAATTGCTTTAGCTTTCAACTCAACATTCAGATAAATCGACGAGGTATAAATCTGACATTCAACATTAAATTGCACATTGCATGTATTAAAAAAAATATCATTTGATATTTTATCAATGTGTGTGATGCTGTTTATAAAGGTAGTCTTTTTATTGTTTAAATTCAGTAAATGAGTACTTAATAAAATGTCTAGGGATAGAGCAGCCCAGATACATTCTCAAGATAGCAACAACGTCACCTGCAGCAGGAGCACGACTACCTACTAAAACCTAGAGGAGTAATTCTATAGAATAGGCTTTCCCTAGAGAGGGAATCAATTCTTTGTAACCTTGGAATTCTACCGATGATTATTTAAACAATAAAATGCTTTGTTTGTTGATGAGGGAATTAACAGATGCAACTATTGCAGAAAAAATACACAACCCGCGTTCAAGCGATTTATGCACATTTTTTTCTGAAATGGTCACAACCGATTATCCTGTATTAACAAAGAAAGAAAGACAATGTATTGTTTATATTTATTTCTGTATAAATAATCGTAAAAAGTAGGTTTAAGTAAAATACTGTATTATTAATGGATTGATTACAGGAAATGGTTTAAATAAGAAATTAAGGATTCCGAGGAAATAGGCTATTTAGTGGATGTAAATATATAACATGTAATAATGGTAATATGCAGTTGTGCAAAAAATTTATTCATTGTATGGATATGTCAAACAATTTGTCATTAATTTCACCAATGTATTCAGAAATTTATGCCCCTTCTCCCAACTTCGTTTTTGTTTTATTAACAGGAAAATAGAAAATGCATGGTAAAAAATGATTTTAGATACCTTTTACATAAAATGATAGTTGTAGATAACTGTCGACAATGGTCAAAGAATTTAGACATTAAAAAAGTGGGTTTTTTCCGAAGAATAAATAGACATTGCGCAAAGGATGGCTACATCAATGGTAAATGGGTAGACGGGGTGTTAATTTGGACGAGTCGATAGAAAAAGGGCAAATTGTTTGCTGTAGCTAACTATGTGAAAATTATGTTTCACGGTAGCTGAAGAACACCTGCTTTTTTGTCTGAAAGTGTAACTTTTTCTGTTGATTACATTACCACGATATTTGTTTCCCTTCCTCTCCTGGAGAAATGTTAACTTTTCAAGATTCATTGGAACTGAACCTTCTTTTGTATTTCCTGATCGGGTTAACCATCATTGGTGTGACGATTTTTATAACTCTCGTGCGCTTTCTGACGGATCTTAAGTGCAGAAAGTTTGTCGGTGACGTCACTATATGGTTTGTTTGATCAATTTTTGGAATATCACGTGTTTTGGATATCGAACAAGACCTCTTAAAAGAGGATAAATAAAGAACAAACAACAGTTGATGCTGTTGATCCACAGCATCAAATCTGCCGCAAACAAAATCATTTTCAAAAAGTACTTCAACAAGTAAGCGTCTGAGGAAAGCGCAAGATTTTCATACTGAAAGAGTGATTATTTTTATTTCAGATTATTAACAAAAAAATGCACACATTCCAAGAAAAATGACACGTACTTTTCATAGTCAGAACAGGAATTACTTCTATTTATATTCAGATCAGGATAAACTTCCAACGTGCTGATACCCTGGATCTTTGTCACGTGGTGATGAGGCTGATGATTTCTACACAATCACAATTTTTTTTACTAGTTCTACAAACATTTCAATTTTTATTAATTACGTTTTCAACGGTAAATTATTGTCCGGCAAATCATAAAGATTTGCGTTCATATCTTACACACTCCCATGCCGGGGAGTACTTACATGTATTGTACATAGACCCTTTTTATAAAATCATAAATTAATAATAAATATCTGTTGAGTAATAAAAATAAAATTGGAACATCTTAAAAAACAATTAAGACTTAGTTTGAAAAAAAAAATTAAAATATTTTACAACTAATTCTTTATACATGTCATCATTAATAAATTATTTACCGAATTAATGCAGAAATAAACCCCTCATATCCCAATGTGCAACTTCCTAAAATAACCACATGGTCGATTAAAATCCATTGACTCCTAGTTAATAGTAACGCATTACAACTATTGTGAAAAATAATTCAGACCTTCAAAATAATTGATATGTGTACCTTATTGAAAGAGGTCAAATTTTTGTATTGGCCTATTTATTCTTTATAATAAATCTGTGTAAAATCAAAAAATTGCTCAAGTATAAAAAAAATTACAGAAGCCATGTGAATACTAGGATTCGGTAATTTAAGTTTTTTAATTAGGAATTTAAATATCAGGTCCGTAGGAACTTGGGAGAAGGAAACAAAAAGGGGGGCGGGGGGCTTGCTTCCAACATTTTACCCCTGGTAGGTCAAACTCCAAGGTTTATAACTTTATGTCATGAGGCCATATTGGTACCCAAAGAAAGGTTTGTCACAAGAAATACTCATTTGGAATATAGAAGCCTTAGCACCAACCGTTCAGAAGCTATGGCTAAGGTTAATTTTTTAAAGAAGCTCACACTCCAAGGTCAAGGTTGGAAGTGAAAAATTGTTGGTATCCAAAAAACGGTTTTTGTCACAAAGAATACACATGTGAAATATGAAAGTCCTAGCACCAACTGCTCAGAAGGAACTGCTAAGGTTCAAATTTTCTAAAAGCAGTTCAAACTTCAAGGTCAGGAGGTAAAAAATGTTGGTACCCAAAGAGAAGTCTTGTCACATAGAATACACATTTGAAATACGAAGCCCTAACACCATCTGTTCAAAAGTTATGGCCAAGGTTAAAGTTTTCCAAAAGTAGGTCAAATGCCAAGGTAAAAGCCAGGAGTCTAAAATCTTAGTACCCAAAGAAAGGTGTCGTCACAAGTTGCAAGTAATTGTCCCATAATTCTTTTTTCACATTTTGTGCATCTTCCTTTAAAAATATTATGTAACAAGTGTAGCCTTTGTAGAAAATAAAACAAATGTAGCCCTTTCATTTGGTCAATCCACAGATATATCAGCTTCACAGAAAAGCAAACTTACCTTACATTTCATGCTCTGGGGATATTTTTTTTTGTGAAGTCCATATATCTATTAATCAAGTGAATTCATGGTGTTTCTCAACAGTAGACTGAACAGATTACAAAATGAAACATTGTGAGGCCCTTACTTCAATTTTAACATGCTGGCTTATTGTTAAACCTTGATGAAAACTGTCATTAACACATTTCTTTTTCATTTTTAATTAACTTTTCAAGACTCAATAATAATGGACATCACAGGTATTTTGGAATCCAAAAACAACTGTATATTCAAAACTACTGTAAGTGTACAGAAACTAATCATTTCAACACAGTTTACATACACAATGAGACTGACCTTTGAGCTACTACATTTTACAAAAATTTTTACACATTACATGTACCGTATAAGCAGAATTTTTAGCGAGGGTTTAATTTTGGCATTTTTTCCGAGGGTTTTGAGATCGCTAAAATTGGATATCACTAACAATTTATACTGTATCAGTTGTTATAGCTATCTTTCTTGACATTATAAAATCGCTAAAATTACTTCTCGTTAAAAATATATACCAATATTTTGGGATAATTGGCTAAATTTGCTTCTCGCTAAAAATTCCACTTATACGGTATTTAACAGTCTAAAATGTTGTTTACGAGGAGATTTTGATATGTTTTAATCTATAAGTGTCTCTTTTATGATGTGTGTGTGTATGTGTATATGTGTACATATTGCTACAAAGTATTTTTTAAGTCATTCATTCATGGGCTCAATTTCACCTGAGGTGTCCTCCTCCTGCTCCCCCTCTGTTGGGTTATATTTAGCTATGATCTCTAACAAGCCATAGATTTGCTCCTCGGTTAGGCGTTCCTCACTCTCTTCCACAACAAGTTGTATTTCCACAGCTGTTGTGGGGCAAAGATTCAGAATCTGCAACTTTTCAGCCCTAGTTAAATTGTATGGCTCTAGTTCCTTCATGAATTCAACAATATTTTCCTGGGTTTGGTTTTTACATGGTTTTGTTTCTAGATACTTGATTGTCTCATATGTTATAGTAGCAAGTTGCTGTTGGTGCTTGTTTGGTTTATTCTGCCCTCTCCCTGCCTGTATGTCTGTCAGTAAGCTATACACTTCAAAGTTACTCAGCATAGCTGAATTTTCTCGGACTACTTCCATGATGAGTATTTATGAGGTAGGGTAGTCCTTGTTGAGTTGCTTCACTGCTGCATATCTTCCTGCTATAATTGTGTATACCCAGGACAAAAGAACAATCACCAACAAAAGCTGAAACAAGAATGGAATTATTTAAATGCAACTTTACACACTACAGTGCAATATTTCCCTAGCGTCTAAAAAGATTTTTTCTTTCTCAGAAGTATTTCTTCATATTTCTTCCATGTGCCACAGCACTCACTTGAGTCACTTTGGCTTAGCAGATATTTTTTTTTTTAATTTGCTGTTTTAATTTCATAAATATTTTGATTCCATGTTGTGGACCACAATCTAAACCCAAATGTGTTATGATTAATTCAACATTAAATCAACACAACATTGGAATGCTTCAACAATACAATCAACATGTCCTGCTGTTTTGGAGAATTTTTTTTTCCTGTACACATGCATTATGTTAAATTTGGATCTCAAAGTTCTGCTAAACTCTAACTCCAGGGCTCATTTGGTAAAAAAAAACAAAAAACAAAAAAAAACAAGTTGTGTTTGTGAAACACTATGCACCCGGCAGCATCAAAGTTCGAAAAGCTATTTTTAGCATATAGGTCACAGTCAAGGTCACAAGGTCATTGACCTTAGTGTCATTTGAAAGAGCTTAATTAGTGGAGTATGCATACCAAATATGAAGTCTCTATCTCTCATGGTTCAAAAGTTATGGCGAAGGTTAAAGTTGACAACAGACAGACAAACAGACAGACAGGACAAAAACAATATGTGCCCCCCGATCTATCGATCCGGGCGCATAAAAAACTACTCTACACATCTTTGGTATTATCTGCTGTTTAACAAGATTTAGTGCAATCTTGCAACTCTTTTGAAGATTCTATCCAGGGTACTCCCTTGTAAAACTCTGATCCCCTATTGTAGTCTCAACCTATCCTCTAGGGCCCTGATCTATATAAACTTTAATCTAAACTACTTGAAAATGCTTGCATATCAGTATGCCTTATCATGGCTTTGCTGTTCATTAGAGAAACATTTTTTGAATACCGTATATACTCGCCTATAAGTCGGTTGTAATTTTTGAGGTTATATTGGAGGGATTTGCCATTGACCTGCATATAAGTCGATACAACTTTTTGCAAGAACCAGCTGACAATTTCAAATCAATGTTTTAATGATGTTTTAACCTGGTTTAAGCAATTGTTTAAGAAATGACGCCATTATTTAATTTTAAATTATTAAAAAAAAATAAGTAATGCACACTTAAGATAAAAATAAAATTATTGAAATATGTAAATACTTGTACTTCATGCATAATCTTAGAATACAAAAATGATATAATATATCCAGACTCTATTCAATGATAATCGTCGGACACGTTTATAAAATACTATGTTACCGTTCAAATTAAGGACCCTCTATACACTGATGAAAAATGTTTTTTGGACTTTGAGAAAATTATTTAGCATAAAGGAGGATGTTTTGAAATTAACTAACTCATTTTTAATATAGGGAGCGTGCCTTTTTTATTCAGGAAAAATCTTCAAAGACAATGAAGTAATAGAAAAGAAAAATTGCCTTCACTTACTCAAATGGATAAAATACATGCAAATAAAGTTTTCAAATACTCTATCTTGGTCTAATATAATGTTTAGAATACTTGTATTTATTTCAAATTATGTGATTTAGTTCAGATTACAATTTATTCTACTTGTATGTCAAATGGTAGGTCAGTCTAATTACACAAAAGTACCCTAAAAATAGGGTGCAGTGTAGAGAGGGTCTTTAATGCCAATTTTTTTTTACTCGCCTATAAGTCGGACATAGAGTTTTGGACCAAACTGTAACTCCCAAAAAAACGACTTATAGGTGAGTATATACGGTATTTTTCCTATATATTCCTTAGGAAAAGCTTTGATCTCCTATTGTAGCCTGACCCTACCCTGAGGGTATTGATTTGAACAAACTTGCATCTACCCTGCCTGAGGATGCTTCCACATTTAAATGACAAAAATAGCTTTGCTGTTCCCAAGATTTTTTTTACAGTATATTCCTTGATTGCAAATTTTGGCCCCACTCTATACCTGGGTGTCTTGATTTGAACAAACTTGAATCTAGACTTACAAAGGACGCTTCCATATAAATAATGATAGTTTTGCAATTCTTTTAAAGAAGATTTTAAAAGATTTTTCCCTATATATTTCCATGGGCCCCTCCCTACCCCTGGGAGTCATAATTTCAAGAAACCTGAATCTACATTACCTGAGAATAATGACTACAGTTATCATAGCTTTTCTGTTCTTAAAAGAAAATTATTAGCTTTTTTTGCATATGTTTCTACAATGTATCTAAAACTTTCCTCGCCATTTGGAGCCACTCTAGCCTTGGAATTAAGTCATGATTTGCATTAACTTGAATGAGTCTACTCTACACTATGTAATGAAGCTTTCACATAAGTTTCATCTTTTCTGGCCCAGTGGTTCTTGAGAAGATTTTTTTTTTATAAAGATGTTCCTGTGTTTTCCTTTGTAAAACTTTGATCAGATATTGTGGCCATGCCCTAGCTTCTGGGTCCATGATTTGAACAAACTTGAATCTACACTGTGTAATGAAGCTTTCACAAATGTTATATTTTCTGGTCCAGTGGTTCTTTTGAAGAAGATATTTAAAAGATGCCATTGAATTTTCACAAATAAAAAAGATACCTTGCTTTAATCATTTTAATGGAATTTACAGACAGGTGCATGTAGCAAATAATTGTTAAAAACTTGCTGTTTTTCATGCTTCATAGTAGAAATGCAAATAACATATGTCATGTGACATCACAGTCTTGTCTGAAGAGTTAGGCAGATCTAAGAGGTATCCTATAATATAAACAAGTGTGCTCACCCAAATGGTCGCACTGTCAATATCTTACGAAATCTTTAATATGTACATTTAAATTTGGAATTGATATACAATTTTTTACAAAAGAAGTGATTAGAAAATCATATAGTTAATAACATGTATTAAGTGAGAACTGTTTGTGCCTGATGTACTGTATTACATGATGTACATGCTTTTGTTTGTAATAAATACAGTTAAACTTCGCTATCTCGAAGTTGACGGGACCGTTGATGAACTTCGAGATATCCGGTGGTTCGACATATCGAGGGTTATAATTCTAATGAACTTCAAATAAATTTAGTATGGTGAACATGCACTTAATAGTAGAAACATGCCAAATTCCTTCTTGTTTGAAATTCTGTATACGATTTCTTTAGTATACATGTACACTTATTTAGCATTAAAAAGATGTTTACATCCTCTTTATAATTCATAAAATAAAAACTTTGTATAATATGCACAGAAATATAATCCTTGTATCAACCCGGCAAGTCAACCGCTAGCATCGTTTCCCATGTATACATAACCGGATATCGTCTATGCATTGTAAATTTAAAACCGGTTGCTGTCAGAATAAGGCTAACGAAATATACATTTTTTTATTGGAAAAACATGTTCATACATGTATAATCAGTTAAAAGAAAGTATTTTACCATAATAAAATCAAATGCAAAAGAAGAAACATGCACTTTTGTCTAAATACAGAATGGGACACATGCCCACATAATGGTGTGTACTGACGATTGTAAATTCAGCGCGCTCATATAGGAAAAAAAAATTCTAATTGCATTAAATTACAGAATTTTGTTTCACTTTGATGTTTACAATTTTCGCTTTCATATGCATTAGCTATGCTAGCGCGCATATTACGCAAAGCATTAAAGAGCGACTATCGAGGTAAACGTACCCCAGTCACAAAACAATTAACCTGTCATGCAACGCGTATGCATAAGACTAATACACACAACCTTTGGCTTGCATAATTAAAATCAAGGTAAGCCATACATACACCTCGTATAATTATCGCGCTATTATCTGTTGATCACAGGAACACAGGTAACTCGTGCGTGACAAACAGGTGGCTGTTATCAATAAAGCGTTCAGTTTACCTAACGGACTTGATCATCAGAGCGGAAAATTATCCTGACTTCGAGATAGCGCATGTGATTTTAATGAATGGGTACTAAATTTTACTTCGAGATAACAGGGGTATTCGACATTACAGTGTTCGACATATAGGGGTTTATTTTAATCATTTATAAAGCAAATTTCATCGGGACCGCGGCCTTACTTCGACATATCTGGGGTATTCGAGATATCCGTGTTAGAGATTTCGAAGTTTAGCTGTAGTTAGAAGAATCTGTGTCTCTGGACAAGCCACTCACCACCAGGTCTGGTACAATCACTAGATTTAGCTACGTAGCTTGAATTACCTACATAGCTTTATTTACCTACCTGAAGTTGCTTTATTTATCTACTAAATCAAACTTATTTCTTAAATCAGCATTTTTCCCAGAAAGTGCAGAAAATTGCACTTTGATGCAGTGATAATTTTCAACTTTGAACTCATCTGAAAACAATTCATGAAAAAATCACTCTTGGAGATGTGCCTTTTTCTGAGCAATTGCAAATCAAAGTTCTAAATGTTTTGGGGTTATATACAACAGTTAATTTGTGACCTATTAAATAGTTACTTCTTGGGTGAAATAAAAAAGAAAACCAGTTTTGGTTAACATGAGCACAATGTGAAGTAATCATACTTATCCACGCCTCATCGTACACAAGGTGGTGTATAGTTACTCAAACAATGGAAATACATATTTTCCTTTAAAGTGTTCAAACGCAGCAATATTAAAACTATCTCTGCTTTAGATTGCTATAATACCTAGAATAAATATTAGTAGACATTTATTTGCGACTTTTTGTCTTTTTTAAAATAAAAAGCAAAATTGTGAAAAGTTGCCTTGAAATAGCTAAATAAAGCTACCTGAGGTAGGTAAATAAAGCTACGGTAGGTGATTTTAGCTACGTAGCTAAATGTACTGATTGTACTGGACCTGACCACATGTTATGAAGTAGTCCGAAATATCTGATGTTTCCCTGGCTTTTTTTACTGTTTTTCATATTCTACGTGCCAGGAAAACGTCAGAACCGGCGCCATTACGAAAACTGGGAATTCGCCGCCTCCAGCCAGAGGCAGCATTCTCGGATTGATTTTCAATACTTGCAAAGCGAATGAAATGTCAAACTCACAATTTATCAATAGTACAATGCTTCTTGTACTCACCAACACAGTTTTTATGGTTTGTTTATAAAATATACAATCCAATGGAAACATTTTATATGACTGTCGAGATTTGTTTTCATTTCATGCATTTTAAAAAATTTTCAAGTCCTGTATCGAAATGATGTTTTCTTTTCATCGATATTGTCGAGTACTAGAAGCATTGTGCTACTGATAAATTGTGACAATGGCATTTAATTCAGTTCCCAGGTATGGAAAATTAACTCCAATTGGAGACGGCGAAATTTCCAGTTTACGTAATGGCGCCGGTTCTGACGTTTTCCTGGCATGTAAAATATCAAAATCGTGAAAGAAGCCTGGAAAACGTCAGATATTTCGGACTAGTTATGAAGATAAACTTGAGCAAAAATTCATGAACTAAATTCAAGGCAATAAGAAATTACACAAAATTGTTTGTTGTCACAATGTTGAATATGGAAATACTCAAATATATGTAATTACACAAAATACGAGTGTTTTTGGGGTTATACATGTTCTAACAAGAAGCAAGTTGCAACTTGACAGCAACAACACGATTTTCTGTATAGTATATACACGTTTGTTCGGCGTCCATGGAAGTGGTAAGTTTAAGTCAGTTTTTAATTAAAATTAAAGAAGATAAAGCGACACAATACTTACAAAATTTAAGATAAGAGAAACAGTCTTCTTGCTCACAATGTACATTTTATTTACACACTGATTGTATTTCGATCCCGAACATATTTCTTGAGAGATTTCACTAAAACCCGGAAAAATTGAATGACCAGAAAACATAATATATAGACTTCTGTTGGGACAAGGAGTCATTATTGCCCATGTCAGTCAATCTAATGTCAAATTCCACTAACGGTTATAAAATCTGATAAAATCCCCGTTTGATAAAAAAAAATATAATTAAATATACTTTAAATTAAAGACAATTCACATGAACTTGAAAACCATTTTGGCAATAAATGTTCGGTGACCTGCTTGTCAAAATAAAAGAGTTTCCAGAATCAAGGGACAGGACGTAGATATAAATTTTCTGTGACCTGCTTGTCAAAATAAAAGAGTTTCCAGAATCAAGGGACAAGACCTAGAAGTTACAAGGATTTTTTTTTTTTTCAGATTGACACTTTCAAACTGTTTGAAAATCTAACCGAGGGTGGGGAATTATTGGAGACCGACTATATTTTTTTTTATTTGTCACTGAGACATTTCTAATATTAGTCTAAAAGTCATATTTTTTCTCTCCAATAATAAACAATTTGTTCATTATTATATGCACATGATGCATGTGCTCCTAAAAGAGAGTATTTTGTAAGCCGAATATTTACTAGCTTCCTATTCACTGTAAAGAACATATAATACACGTACATAATTACAGATAACATCCTAGATAGAATGTTCTATCGTTAAATTGATAAATGTCCTATGGACCCGGTTTAACGTGGTGTGGGCCTGTCCTGAGACACAGTTAGATTCTTCTAACTAATAACGTCCCCCCACCCCCCACCCCCACCGACCCACACACACACATTAAAAGATGGGTCCGGGGGGATGGATTATGATGTGCTCAAATTTTATTTTTTGTACTCCAGAGGAAAAGAATTTCTAAAAAATGCTTTCAAATACCTTTTAAGTGTTAATTAAGTGAATGCAAAAATTCTATACAAGGCAGTTCAATCAATTTTTTTTTAAATTATTGTAATGCAAGAATGTTACTGTCATTAATGTCAATGTGAATTTTAACACTGTCATGACAACACTGACATAAAATCATTATACTAAAATTGCAACAACAGCAAAAACAACTCAAAATTAATTAAAGGCCGGAATCCAACGCATGTTTACCAAGTTAACACTCCTTTCTACACTGTGATAATTAATGGACAAGTGTAAGGGTTTGTCAATAGAGCGGGATATTCTTGCCAGGTGTTGTTCAAGGTTTGCAGTTGCCTATTAATATTTTCTTGAACGTGATATAGATACACGTGCAAGCTTCATCCCTCATTTTGTCAACTGTTCTTGAAAAAACAAAGTGATTGTGTGCAGTTAATCTGTCACAGAATCTTCCAAATAAACAAATTATGATATAAATTACATTTTTTAGAACTTAAACAAAGCCAGTATAGTGAAAATAATAATTAGATGGATAAAACGTATTTAAAAGTATTTGTTCCCGACTTATTCACGGAATCAAAATGCACTGGGCGATGTTCGTTCTTTTTGTAAGTTCCTATAGGCTATATAGCTCTAACAAAAGCTCTAAAAGGCACCCTTATCATTGTTCCTAAAGCCGTCTCAGCCCCCCTCCCTTCCCTGGAATTTTGCCTATAAAGGGCAAAGGCGGATCCAGGGCCGGCGCCCCCCCCCCCCTCCGTTTGAATTTTTGGTATGTAGAACTTATATGTCCATTATCCTAACATCAAGGAAAAACATCTCTTATTTGTAAGAATTTGTCAGCTTTGCCCTAGAGGCTAGACCCACTGGGAGCTTCAATGCAGCCCCCAGACTCCCTGCCTTCTACTGCCCCCCCCCCCCCCCCCGTTACGAAATTCCTGGATCCGCCACTGAAGGGTTAGGGGGGTCCAGCCTCCTGGAGTTGTACCTATACAAAGTTTAGCTTAGATTTTTAATTTTTTTTTATCTTTATTTTTATCTTTATTTTTATCTTTATTTTTATCTTTATTTATTTATTTATTTATTTATTATGGGGTGATTTTTATTTATTTTTAGACATCAATAGACGCTAATCAATACATCAGTGTTTAAAAATTCCCCTGCAGGTCTCCTGATTAAATCTCCACCCACGAACAGCGACAAAAATAATACACATAATTTTGGACACCAATTAACTTATATTGGAGAAAATTTAAACATGTAAAATATAACCCTTTTGTTATTTTTTTCTTCAAAGTTGAATGAAATAGCCTAATTGTGTGGTGTTTAATATTTCTTACATGTGTTAGGATATACGACTGTCAGGGTGCATTCTAAATATTGGAGCTTTATACTGAAGTCCATGTTATATACACATGTATATACATGCGCATGTAACTAAAAATCTCAAGCATGACTGCCTGGGGAGATTGAACATGAGCTCAATACCCAAAATGAAAAGAAATCTTTATCGGGAGACTAATGTTGGAATATACCATGTATACGTACTCTCCACAAGAGGCGACGAAAATGCAAAATAATTAAATTCAGTACTATGGTTCAAACTATACATGTATTCACTATGCAATTGCACAATCTTGTGCACAAGCACTTGTTTCTATTAAAAAAAAAAGAAGATTTTAACAAATAGTATAATATTACATTATGGGTTAAAAAATTATTACAGAGGCAAGCGCCTGTGTTCATGTGTTATGTTCCTACAATAATACATGCACATAATGTACATGTACATGTATGTACACTGACTGATTAAGAGGGGACCCAGCCCCCCCCCCCCTTTGTGACCAAAAATATATATGAGATATTAATAAATCATTTTTTTTGTTGTGGGATATTAAAAAATATGTTCCATAACACTCCTAAAACCTGAGAGCTCCTGGAGGCTTCGACCCCCTGGGTCCCCACCAAGACCCCGAACCGGTTGGGGCCCCCTTTTCAAAAACCCCTGGATCCGCCGAACAGGCAATTGTTTTTGTAATAATTTTTTTAACCCATGGCATAACTATTTTACGAAAGCCGGATAGGCTTATTTTTGACAAGATAAAAAAAATAATTAACTCGTTATAACGAGATAGTTATCTCGTTATAACGAGTTAGTTATCTCGTTATAACGAGTTAGTATCTCGTTATAACGAGATAATTATCTCGTTATAACGAGATAACTAACTCGTTATTACGAGATATTAACTTGTTATAACGAGATACTAACTCGTTATAACGAGATACTAACTCGTTATTACGAGATAATTATCTCGTTATAACGAGTTAAATAATTTTTTTTGTCTTGTCAAAAATGAGCCTATCCGGCTTTCGTACTATTTAACTATGGGATAAAAAAAAAAATATCACAGAAACAAGTGCCTGTGGGCAAAATCAGTAGAGGTCTGATAATGTAACCTGTTGCAACTTGTAAAAGATCACGATCATCGGAATAAAATATTTTGACAGGATAAACTCGACGTTTAGTTTCCTCATTGAAACTTCCTGCTAATTTTTTAGAAAAGACACGTAATACTAGCATCGAATCAATGAATGAATGATTTAGTGATCTAAACTAGAAAATAAAATATGGATGCCGAAGCAGATGATGGAGTTGATATCAAAACTGTTGAGGATGAAGGGTTTGTTCCCAAAAATGAGGATCCGGCATTTGTAACTGGAATATTCAACACTGGTAGCTATATTTATCTTTAGATAAATGTTTTGATTTATATTTAGTTCCTTAATCCAGGGACTGGTTAATATGATACTGAAATCTAACAGTACACTTGCCCGAGATTCATTATACATTTTTACAATAAAGAAATAAGTTACTTTTTTAATTAGGTCAAAGCAGGGAACTATATATACTAACTTAGTATAAAGGTCCCCGTCAAAGTTTGAATCTATCAGTTTTATTAAATATGACTGCTTGCATGTGTAACTAATTATAAGCTTTAGTTATTGAGTTTGTTGTATATAATATCTACTGTCACAGAAACAATGTATAAAATGTCCATAACCTTTGCGGATTATTGTACATGTATGTGTACACCTTTTAGTTGAATCTATATCTATAATAAGCATCTTTTGCATTGTCTTTAGTACACTTATTCATCAACACTGCCAAAACATGAATTCACATAATCATAGAGAAAGAAATATCTACAGCACCAATTTAGGATTGTTCTAATTAATGTTTTAAAACATACAGATGCATTCAATTTAAAGAAAAACTTACACTCTGAATAATTTAATTTATAGATAATATGTCAAAAAGGTTTTATTTTGATAACATTGATAAATTTAAAGATATGGAAATGATCCACTTCAGAACATCCTCATAACAACAGGAGTCCTGAGTTAACACGTTGCCTTTGGACCCCTGACAAATTTCATTCCATATCTTCGGGCTTGCCTCTTTCAGTGAGAAACACCAATCAAACTGAAGTAGACAGATAATGTAAACAGAAAGGAATTAGTTGACACCTAAATTGCACGTGTTATGCATTCTTCATCACCAAAAGGAGATAATTGATTAATTGATGTGAATGGGTGAGAGATAAGAAAAACAAACAAGATTTGTAATTTCGCTGAAAGACAATGCTACCATCAGCTAGCCTACAAGATATCAAATGAAATTTGTCAGGGGTCCAACAGCAACCTGTTGACTTGAGACCCCTGACGTAGTGAGGATAACTTCAGAACTTCAGAAATGAAAAATACTAAACAATGCAGTCCATGAGATTTCACAGTTATCAGTTATTTTTGTCTCAGCTGTAATACACTAACTGCATTGAATTAACTTTCACTGGAAAATTGGAAAGATATAGAAAAAGTTCAAGTTTACAGTCAAGCTCAACCATTCAAATGTTTTGTACAGTTTCTTTGATGTCAAAAAAGTATCATTGTGGTAGAATGATGAAATGGCAGTAATAGGAAAATCTAATTGTGATTGCAATGGAAAAGAGGGTTGAATTGAAATTTGAATATGACCTTTATAAGATACATTGCATTGGGAATATTTGTTCAAATACAATGTAAAGGGGTAGGATAATATGAAATTTTTGTGTGTGGGTGACTAAAAGCATCCTTTTAAATTTGTTCCCCATGGCATTTGATGTTCTTAAACAAGTTTGTACTATCAATATCGCCATCAATATGTTTTTTTGACCCTTCTACTTTTGTTCCCCTCAGTTTTGAATGTTCTTAAATAAGTTTTATACTATCCCCATCAGTACATTTTCTTCAGGTTGCTTTCATTGCCTCAGAGACCAGATTCTTTAATTTTTTTTATCTGCTAATACTGTATCTGTTCTATACAAAGATTACTATTTTTTTTCTGTGTCTTTTTTGTTGACAGATTTTCTTATATTTCACATATTAAATCAAGCAGAATACATTCTGAAAAAAAAAGATATCTCTTTTGCATTGATTGACTATTGATGGTGGGCCAGTAGGTTATTTATTATGCCCTGGATCAAAAGATCCCGGGGGTATATTGTTTTTGTCCCGTCTGTCTGTTTGTCTGTTTGTTTGTCTGTCTGTCTGTGGTCAACTTTAACCTTGTCCATAACTTTTGATTGGTTGGAGCTATGACTTTCATATTTCACATGTGCATTCCTTGTGACAAGACCTTTCTTTGGGTACCATCATATTTGACCTTTTGACCTTGACCTTGGAGTTTGACCCACTTTTGCAAAATTTTATGAGACATTAACCTTGGCCATAACTTCTGAACAGTTGGTGCTTGGGGTTTGAAACTTCACGTGTGTATTCTTTGTGACAAGGCCTTCCTTTGGATACCAACAACTTTGACCTTTTGACCTTGACCTTGGAGTTTGACCTACTTTTGAAAAACTTTAACCTTGGCCATAACTTTTGAACAGTTGGTGCTTGCGGTTTCAAATTTCACATGTGTATTCCTTGTGACAAGACCTTCCTCTGGATATCAACTTCTTTGACCCTTTGACCTTGACCTAGGAGTTTGACCTACTTTTGAAAAACTTTAACCTTGGCCATATTTTTTGAATGGTTGGTGCTAGGGCTTTCATACTTCACATATGTAATCCTTGTGACAAGACCTTCCTTTGGATACCAACCACTTTGACCCTTTGACCTTGACATAGGAGTTTGACCTACCTTCAAAAAACTTTAACCTTGGCCATAACTTTTGAATGGTTGATGCTAGGGCTTTCATACTTTACATAGGTAATCCTTGTGACAAGACCTTCCTTTGGATACCAACAACTTTGACCTTGACCTTGATGTTTTACTTACTTTTAAAAAACTTTAACCTTTGCCATAACTTTTGAACAGTTGCAGCCAGGGCTTTCAAATTTAATATTTTTTATCTTTTGGCCTGGATTTTGACTTGCATTTGAGAAACTTTAACCTTTGCCATAAGCTGCCATACGGGGGCATCAGTGTTTCACAAACACATCTTGTTTTCATTCTAACTACAGTACTGGTTCTGCCTTGTGTTTGCCATATATATGTACATGTACTTGCATGTAAGTCATTTGACATAAAATTATTCCAGCATTACCTGAAAATATGAACAACTCATAGAAGATCAACAATTTATAAGTGAACAAATTTTGTCAAAGCTTAATAAAAATTTAAACAAAGACAGTCACTGTTGTTTCATTAGGTAAGTCAAAGTACATCAACCAAACCATTTTGTAATGCTGACCTACGGGATGTATTACTTGATGGGAGATTTCTTTGATAAATTTTTTAAATTGATTTTAATCAAAATTTCATTTTTGCAGGTGTAGGATTTCTACAGCAGTATGGTTGGTTTATCCTCCTTGGTGTCCTTATTCTAATGTACATCAAAAGTAAACTGGATCCCAAGATCAGGCAGATGAAAACCAAAGCAGAGGATGTCAGTTTCCAGAAAAAGTATGGTAGGTCAACACAAAGTAATTATGCATGCAATTTTTATGAGTTTTAACTGTTCACGGATGTGATATGTACATTTTTTTTTTTAATAAAATACATGTTTGTAAGGTTAGACATCATGATAAATGTTTGTTAATATTTAGAATCATATTTTATTTTCATGGTTTTACCCCCCACCCCCACCCCAGAAAGAAGGGGGGGGGGGGGGGGGCTAGACATGCTATGTACCCCATAGCATCTATACTTTTTAGATATAAGGGGTATAATGTATATGTCCACAGAGGGTTAAATATTCACTTAAGGCTGCAGACAGACAGACAATACTATGGGTGTAAAATGCATGGCCATTTTTTTATGTAACACTGACTCCAGAACTTTGAATGTTTAATACACTGTACATACATTAGGAATAATGATTTAAGAAAATTTTTTTTAAAAAAAATATCATAACCCTTTACACAAACAAAATATCTGCAATAAATAAAAAAAATTACCATAAAAAAGACAATTTTAACATTCTTCATGTTTTTGGTTCCTCCCTATCCAACCACCCACCCACAATTTCTATCAATCAATATGGAATCATCATAATTCCACATGTGCTTACTTATCTATTGTCTATATTCACCCCATTGATTAAAACAGATTTTCACATAAATGTAGGTGCAGATACTCCGGAGAACATACTCTGAACCATTTACATGAGGATATAGTAATTATTCCTTAATGTATTGATTTATAGTTAATGAACATTGTTGTCATGCAGTCTCACTATTACAGGGCATTCTTAGCATGTTTCTTCTGCTACAGTGCTAAAAATCAGATTCAAGTCGAATTTCAATTCTTATGAACAGGCTGCTGAAAAATATAATAGATTACCCCAGACTACTATAATTTATTAATTATTCTTGCTGTTACTTAATCTTAAGTCATTACCAATTAAAATAAATGTTATTCAGATATAGTTGTTAAAATGAAGTAATGTTAATTACATGTACATGTATGTACATGTAATAGAAATTTTTATCAGTGCATGTTCAAAACCCCCCATCCATTTACTCCAACTCCCTCTTAACCCTTCAGATTTTGAACTGTTAGAGCTTAGAAATAGATATAGGTCTCTATGTCTTTAAAATGCAAATTTTGTTTTTGGTCATTACAAATTAAAATGTTTCATCATTCAGCTCTAAAACATCCAACTCCTAGAACAATTGAGTGCACTTTATATGTAAGTAGAAAGAGGAAGAAAATTTCATTGATGTTAATTTAGATTGAAATAAAAGACTTTGTGATGGATATAATTTAATGTCTCCCAAGAACTCCCTTGTCAGACCTGCAGAGAAGTATTAAGGTCTGTCTGGAAACTCCATCTAAATTAACGAGGATTAATCTGACCTTTCCTGATTCCCATTAAAGCCAGTCTGTTAAGAAGCTTTCTTTTTGTGTTTGATCTCTTTGTATCATAGAAGCCAATTTTAAGTTCAGGATAAGGACAGTTTGTAAGACCTGTTTGTTTTGGAAATGAATGTATAGACAAATACATATTGCCAACATGACATTGACTGATGGGAGTTCCATAGTCGTAACATCTTTTGTTTGTGTTGCTTTTTTTTTTTTTTTGGAATTATAATTAAATGTTCTTATTTTGGAAAATTATTTTAAGAAGCCATAATTTTAAAGATAATTAAGTTTTTATCTGATATGGTTTATATTTTAAAATAGATGGAATATTAGAGATGGGATTAATAAAAGGTTTATCTTAAAATGTAACAAAATGTGTTAAAGTAATTTTTTTCAAAAAAAAAAAAAAATACGATGACATTTGCAATTTTAAGTGCTTGTAATTTCAGAAAAACTACATATACCAGGTATATTGATTTTGAAATAAAGTATTCCATGACCATAATGGTAATATGAATGACATTTAGTTAATTTAAACACTGGAGTATTCTTTCATCAGAGGTTATTAAGATGAAGTTTGAACTGTTTGCTGTATACAAAGTAGTTTCAAAAGAAAGAGAGATCTCTCATAATCATGATAACCAGAAAAGAAAAAGTGTTTGAATTTCATTATGCAACTTGATTCTCTTACTATGTATAAATTGTAATGATTTTGCTGTAAATTTATTTTGTGATTTGTAAATGTTGTGCATATGTAATAGGACATTAGTGATACATGTTCTATTGCTGAAGTACTTTGTAAATTATAAAACAATCACAAAAGATTCTCAGTAGTGATATATGTGCTCGGTAGATCCAGACACGGCCCAGAGACGACTGGAAGCCATGGAGAGAGCCAGAATGAGGTTGCAGGAGGAACACGATGCAAAAGCTGCCGTATACGCTGAACAACAGAAACAGGTGAAATTCTATACCAGCTGTCTCAACTTTACAATTTCACACGTGGAGTTTCATTTTTTCACATGATGTAAAGTTCATAGAACTGATTTTTATTTTTAAAATACCCAAAAATTGTCTGTTGTTTGTTTTAAAAGATTTTGAATAATCAAATATAAATAAAGAAAGACTTTGTGTATTTTCACTTCATTGATATGGTGGTTTTGAAGTACACACTTTGTTAAGATTTCTATCCTATCTTAGAAAGAAGAGGAGAAAAGAAAACAGAAAATAGAAGAATGGGATAGCTTTCAAGAAGGAAAAGGCTACAGATCAAAATATAAACCAGTAAGTGAGCTCAAAGATTAATAAAAAGACATACTGCACAGAAACCTGACATGAGAATGGGTTTAAGTCCAACACGGCTCTTAAGCCTATACAAGTACTATTGCATGCACAACATAACAAGCATTCTGAGAGTATTGCATTAGCAATACTAGTCCCCTACCGGCAAGTGTAATCTGGTTCCCGTTAAGAATTGAAAATGTCATATTTCCGTCAAAAATCAACGCAGCTATGTTAAGGCTGTCCGAAGGCTTAATATGCATTAGATATATACTATTTTATTTTGAGCTATGTTTTGGTTTCAATTTGTAATCTTTGTATACATACACAGCTAAGTTGTAAAGAGAGTTGAATAAGGTATTATAAAAAGCATTTTTGTGTTGTCACAAGATTGTGTTGATCACGTGACGTACAATTATAATTTTTCTTAAATGTTGCACAAAAATCACATCGGCACAAGTGAAAAACAAAATTATTGTGAACGGCTTGTTACATACCAAGGTAAATCAATTAAACGTATTCTTGGGTATATATAAAGTGCTGGGGGAAAGTCTGAATTTTATTTCTTAAGAAAATATTTCAAGAGAAATTTAATTTACCCACATACAAGGGTTCATTTTCCACTCTTCATCGCAATTTATACAAAATGGGATAAATTACATACAATCCCCCAGCAAAATTCAGTTAGAAGACATTTTTCTCTAGTAGATTCACACAGAATATCTTCAATAAATCCTGATTATTCACTTGTGCCAGTCTAATATATATAAGATTTAAAAATTCTAACTCTGTCTACGGACATGTAAGGGGGAGCATTTCACATTCTTTTTTGTAATTGTTTGAATACGTACATGTTAGACAAGAAAAAGGAATAAGGATATTATATTGCAAACATTCACAATCATAATAGCTTTAAAACAACAATCAAGACATATAAATAAAACATCAATGTGAAAAAATTCTATATGTGATGTGAAAGGAATGTAAAAGTTATGACACTTTCCCCGTCATGTCTGCTCAAATTTGCAGTGACTTGACGTCATATGCCATTATGACGTCATATCAAGGTAGTTCAGGGAAGTAACTACGGCTGGTACACTGTGACATTCTTCAGACAGCCTTATCCTAGCCGCGAATGAAGCGGAACAAAATGCAAACTTGATCTATAACTAATCAAGGTAAAGTCACATACCAAAAATCAGCTCAATATCTGAAAGCATTAAGAAGAAAATTGCAGAAAACCCTTAAAAATTGAAAAGGCCATAATCCGTCAAAAATCAATGAAGCGGAACGAAATGCAAAGTTGATCTGTAACTCATCAAGATACACTCACATACCAAACATCAGCTCAATATCTGCAAGCGTTTAGGAAAAAAGTGCAGAAAACCAAGTGGGATAGACAGACGGACAGACTCAGAGGAAACCTATAGCCCCCTCCGGTTTCACCGGTAGGGGACTAATAAGATAATAGGCTATAAAGATAAAATTGTACTGATGTGTCAGACTGTGTTTTGTCCCTTTCAGTTTGGCATTCATGTACTATGCCTCATATGCTGAGTGGTTTTAAAATCATTTCTTTTTTTCTTTAGAGTCATTATAATTGATACCAGTCTTTGTTTTGTTTAATGAATCATATATAATACTGTAAACATGGAAATGTTTGCTTAAATTAAATTTTGCTATAAAGTTTTGCAAAATTTAGAAGAGGTTATATATGCACTTTGAGTAAAACATTTTTTATTAATTTTTGTAAAAAAAATTAAAATAACCCCTATGAGAATGCTTTGTTAGAAAGAAATCACAAAATTTTACCCCATTAAATATCAAAGTTGTGTACTTTCCACTTTTATTGAACACATGGAATACCCAGTTGAATAAAAGTTGTCTTCTCACTTATTTTGATTTTAAATTTGAAATCTTGAAATACCTATATTTTAATTTTTAAAAAAATATTTTTTGTTTTCTTTTGTTTGTTTGTTTTTGGTTTGGTTACACACCAAAATTGAAATTTATTTCACTTGTACAATCAGTGCATTAATTCACATGGTGACCTTGAAATGGGAGATAAAGGAGTACAATGAAAAATATGTAGCTGCTTTATTTAGAAAAAAATAAACAATTATGTCATGGTGATTGGCATAATTCCATGAAGACAAGACTGTTCGTTAGCCGTATCTTAGGAGGTTTGATGAAGAGCCCTTGCTACCTCCTGCACTGACCTCGTCACGTGGTACAGACACATATCCTTGCGCTGGCATCCAAATCCAGATTCCTCCGCGTTTCTTCGTTGATCTGTTTCCTCCAAAAATAGATCTTTTGGCATTTAATGATGATGGTTGCAATAAAACTGGAAATGACTCTGAATCAGTGCTCCTTAACTTTTGCCGAATATTGGAAAGAATGTAAGCAAGTTCGCTATTTTCTCGATCGGAGGGAGCAGTTTGAAAGTCGTCACGTGATGCACTAACAGCGCATGAACAGAACATTGAAATTGAAAATAGAGCCAATGCTAAAGTCCCGAATTGATGAAAATTTATTCCGTGCATTGTTGTTTCCTACAAGTAAAATACAAGATATTAAAATGCAAATAAAACTTTTCTTCTTGCAACATATAATTTTATAAAAAATAAACTGTAAATATCGGGTAACTTTTCTTAAAGATTTTATTCAATCCATGGATTAGTTGATGTGTCACTGTCTGTGCATATATACAATGTATATTGTAATGAAGCAATTAGATTTCTGCTGTCAGTCTACTTGAGCTAAAGGAAAAGGCCAACCTAAAGCATTTTCATTCATTTATATAGATATCTTCGTTTTCATTAATATATAGAATATCCATTATATCGCTAGCTGGTTAAAGTGATATGAAATCAAAACCCTATCACTGTTTCTCACGCACCAACATCATGAAAGTAATCAAAGATTAAATTATGCTTATTTTACATGGGCATCCTCGCTAAGATTAATTATAGACTTTGAAGAGTAATGTGTGAAGATTTACATTTCATTCACTCATTTCCGCCCGTTTCCAGGAGAATTGTACTGTTGAGAACATTCCGTGTTATTAAACTGAATTTATTGTCAGGACTTTGGCGATTGGATGTTCAGGTACACGTGACACAAAACATTACCGAGTCGCGTTGTTTATGATTATTCCTGTAAAAGATATTCTTGGGTAATAAACTTCACACAGGAGTGTAGAAACAACACGTTTTCTGTTGTATTTGTGATAGATTTCCATATTATTACAGTTATTTTACCCGCAGAAGATCAGTTGAACCACCATAGTACTAAATATTGAGCTCATAAATTTGAGTCGAGTCTTACTGGCGATGAAAGAAAACCTGAATATTACTATTAGCATTGTAATAGGGGGAAGCGCAATTTACTTCAGTTATAGAAAAAAGTGCGTCGGAAAAGCTTAGAGCTATCACTTAATTGTTATTATTTCAACGGTATGGCCATAACACATCGTTATTCGGAGGTGGAATACATAAAATTTAACGTCATCCCGAACGCAGAGTGCAAATCATTTTCTTCCTTTTTGCAAATCTCGAATAGCATCGTTTGAGGAAGTTAAAACAGTTCTTAATTTCATTTCTTTTGAAGTCCATTTTGTCCAAATTAATTTTTTTTTCTTTCTTCTTTTGCATTAGACTAAGATTTTAAAATCTACTAACAGGAAGGGAAATAATGGTTCAGAGAATGAAGCAGAATTATCATTTGTTTCAATTTACTAAAGAAGTGGTATATACATGGTATTTCTTACTGGTAGATCAGTAGCGCTAAATTTTGAAATTTTACCGCTTTTCAGCATTTTTACGATGTTCTTTCTAACTTCGAGGTATATACAGTTGAGTTACTGATAAGGAAATTACTTGATAATTTTCCGAAATACATGTACATATATACTTATTTGGTTTACGAATATCGGTTTCAAAAGGTTGTAGGTAAAATATTTCTCTGGTTTTTCAGTAAAACTATTCAGATTTTAAATATTGATACAGCATAACAAATAAATGTACATTTCCTCGTGAAAAAATTGCGATATATGTACTAGTATTTATTTTTATGTAAGAAACATTCATATTATAACTACGAGGGACATTTCATACTGTAAACCAACTTTTTTCACGAGCTAGAAATTTCCGCGAACTTTGCGACCTCCACTTAATCGCGAATATTTCTCACTGCGAACCAATCATTATACATCTGAATGTATAGTTGGTCGCGAAAATTAATAGTCGCGAATGGATTTCTAATTGAGGAATGGCGAATAATAGTTTGTGTACAGTATAGCTTTATAAATGTTGCACCACTAAGTGCATCTTAGTATTTTTACATGTACGGTCGAACATTTCTTTGCAGTATAACATGCTTAACATTTTTAAGATCATGTGGAAACAAATGTTGGGAAAATATGTAGCTACGCATTTCTCCCTAACGTTATAACGTTATTAAAGTTGAGCATCGGCTATTCCACATTTAAGGTGTTAATTTTTTTCAATATGGTCAGTGAAGAATCCGGATTCGATGGAGTGTTAGCGGATAATGTTTCTCAGATAGGAAAGAGAAAAATGAAAATCCATAGATAACTTTTATTTATATAAATCGGTATCAGATAATATCAATGTAGATTTATCGTTAAAATATATAGAAAATGCTATGATCTGATACATACTGGATATTAGTCAAAATACAACACGCATGTTGCTTACTAATTATTGAATTATTAGAAATTCATATATAACGAGTAGACTACAATTAATATATGAATTTCTAATAATTCAGTAATTAGTAAACGACACATACAACAAAGTCGGTCAAAGCAAGGATTCTGCATTTGCTATATCTTATAATTTTTATACAGTAAAAGGATTTTTGGTCCATATGTTTTAATAAATGATAATTTTTAACAAACAAATGGAGAGTGGACCACGATATTTTATGGTATCCTTTATGAATTTGTTTGAAGTGCAGACATTCTGAAATGAATGGAGTGCCTCAGTGAATATTCAATTCCCGCAAGATCTTTTTTCATGTTGTTACCTTATTTTAATTGTCAATATTTAGTTTTAAAAATGTTGAAAGAGCTTATATTCTTACTATTATGAAGTAACACTCGCTAAAAAAAAAATCCAATTGATTTATGTAATTAAATCTATAGGCATTTAATTTCTCCTATATTACTTTGAATCAGCATATATTATGTATTGATGATAGTGTAGTATACTTTATTTCATTTTAGTAGTTTTCCCCCATGTGCATGCCCTCTGTTAGATTTATATGAAATTGTGAAGAATACTAGTAATTGTCAAAAAGTTCCGTTGTAATAGTCTGTATTTCCAGATAGACCCTGCATATAAACTATACGGTAGGAATGCAAGAGAAACACATTTGAAGGACAATGCAAATGGCTTTGCCATTTAACTATCACCTGAAAATGCCATTATATTTGGAGCAAAACTGTTCATACAAAGTTCTTGTTACTCTTTATTTTCTTTTTAAAAGATATGTTACGAACTGTTTCTCTTATTAGGATAATCAATAGATGAAAACCCAAGTTGCGTAGATCATGATTTGCTAAAGTGTTGCCCTATTCTTTTCCGAACTTGATCCACGTCCCTAATGTTTTATGTAATGTGCAGAAATCAACTTACTCTAGTAATCCCAGGGAATCGCCATGACAAGAGAACTAAGGAAAGTAAATTAAAATGGATTTGATGCGTTTTATTGTTAACGCTAGGATATATAACTTCATGGTGCTTCTCAGGAAATTCCCTGGAGACCAGTTAACTGCTGAAGGTGATTTTATTTATGCCTTTACAATCACCCGTCTAATGTTACTTTTTGTCATGGAACCGATTAATATATTTTTGTCCGATTATATGAAGCAATTGGTCTTTTTTTCTCTAATACAATCTCGTTTTCGTCCTCTGAGATAGAATATCTGATGGAATTGTAGTAGATTTGCTAATAAACAAACTCATGTTGAAATGAAACACGAAGATTTCATCTACATTTTTTACTCAAAATTCCACTGAATATCAAATTTGATATAGAATTGCCTTCATAGGTAAACCTATCACATTTTCCAACTTGGATTTGTTTCTGTAACATTAGAAATAATCACTCTACATGTAACAATTAAGATTTCCAAGTGGGAAATTATCCTTTCTTTTAGCTTACTTTCATCGTTTTAAATTTTTGATAGCATAAAATGACCAAAAGTTTTTTTTATCAACCAACTGCAAGGCTGGTCATCATAAATATATTTGTAAATTCGAGAAGGGTAAATTTTGCCACCGTTAGCATGGGTATTTGTACCCCTTACTATGTTCGGTAGAATTATTTAAAATTGATGAAAAAAGTGTAACATGGTTTGTCTTAAGAGACGAGTTGATTTTTTCCCTAATTAAACGCATTTCATGTCATTTGTAGATACAGTGTGTTACACATTTTACCCAAAGCAGATAATGAATAGTTCGTAAACATGATGTTGCATGTTTACTTTATAAACGGTGTCATCAGTTCACTGTTGAAAGGCGATATATGCTCATGTATTTTTATGTCTTTAATTAGATATTTACATCAAATTTTTTAATCATGCTTTTTAAAGCAATTTAGAAAAAAAATAGAAATGATAATCTCTTCACAACTTTTTTGTTGACTCTTATGTGCATAAGACAATATGATAATCAGATGCTTAATCTGGAGGCTTTCAAAAGACCATATTATTTAGAACAGTTTTATAGCATGTTCTCAAATCAGTAAAAAGACTTCTACATGGTAGGCTCCTTTGTTAGTATTTGTAAAATGCATATAATTTTCTGAAAAGTTATTTCAAAAAGTTGAAATTTTTCCTAAAGCTCTTTTCTAAATCACCCTTTTTTTAAGTGTTAATGTAGATTTAACATCATTTAAAAAGTTAAAAATATAAAATGCATTTCATATTTATTAATCTGAAGAACTTCAATACAAAGATTATGATTGAAAATTAAGCATGCTCATGATGCTGTCTACATGACGTTTTTGATTTAATTATAACGATAATTGAAAATTAAGCATGCTCATTATGCTATCCACACAATGTCGTTAGTTTAATTATAACGATAATTGAAAATTAAGCTGACTTATTATGCTGTGTAAATAATAGAATATTGTCAATGAACCTACCTTTAGAAAATCCTTAATGCTTGTACCGTATAAGATCCCTTTCTCTCTCTGAGGCTGTCCATGTCACCGAGTAGAATTTATGATGGTTGGGTAGCCGCCCTCTTTAGTATCATTGGACAATGCGACTCTCCTACACACGGAGTAGACGGTCCATCTTGCAACGTAATTAAAGCTTCCGTAATACAGGGATCCTGAGAAAAGACCGATATATTTGAACTGTATCATGATGAAAGTGCTTGTTTTTTCTAAGAAGGATGGTCCTTTGCTATCAATCTAAAAAAATATTAAATTTTAGAATGTTTTTTTGCAAAAATAATTGATATGAATTATCATTTATAATGTGGAAATAAGGAATAGGAGTATACGTATATATCGTAACAGCGAAAGGACTTTCATGAAAAGGTCAGGATACTCTTCATTGTCTGCAATAAATTTCCGTAAGGAATCATTTGATATTTTTTTTATAGATACTGCGTCAAGGCAAGATATCCCGTGCTAGCGTTGCATCTGAGCAATTTTATGATTTACAAAATAAAAATGTAGAAACTGTTTAATTATTTTTTTTCACTTGAATATTTAGGTACTTGGGATAGAAATATCAAATAATAAACTGTTGTGTATCCACCAAATAATGATTCCATTTTTTTTCATTTTGCAGAAAAAATGTATATAATTCTTATCGTTTTTATTTCATATGACCATCATTGTTTAAAAGTGGTTTGGTCAATTAAGTACTGTGTATAATTATGTTTCTTGGGATTTTAGTTCCTGAAATTGTTGGGATCCCCCCCCCCCTTCCCATGTAGCGTAAACTTTGACAACAAGTGTATTGGTCACTTTTGTCCTAATCGACAATTCTGCTGTTCATTGTTAAGACATATTTGAACGAAGCAGAGATAATTACAAAAATATAGTTTAAATGACAACATAAGATTTTTTAAGTCTTATAATCAGAAAAAAATGATTAAATAAGAAATGATTTTAAAGCTTATCCAAAATTTATTATCTTCGTATTACTTAGGGATATATGCTATTCTGACAGACTTTTTCGGATAGTTTATGTTCAACCGTGTAAATCCGATACTTAAAATCATGAGTTTTTCCGCTATATTAAGTCGGCTGGGGACGGAATACGACTTGCTCATCCGTCAATCAGTCCTAAATGACAGATTAGTTATTATTCAGACTAGATTCAATTTCCGGATAATTTGGTTATCGTTAAAAACCTGTTGCATAAAACGGGTTTTCTTATTACTGTTTTATATTTTAATTATAGGCCTTCGTGTAGACTTTATATGAGGTTTTACAGAGTCATTGTATTAGGGCACGAAACAGTGCGATACTCTTTGGAAAAAGCTACCGCAGTTTTGAAAAGGATATTAAGCCAAGTAAATGTATCTGTTACTTGATGTGGTGATCGTTGTAATAAAATAAAAATCTCAAATCTATGATATCAGAAAAAAATGGAATAAGTTTGATTAAAACATCCGTGTGTTTTGTAAGAAATCTTTCTAAATCCTCTTTGAGCAAATAGCTATACTGTTTAACGTTATCGTCGCCTACGTTTTAAAAGAAAAGATGCTTCACGAAGTATAATTTGATTTCCCTTCATTGGTTCTTCAATGAGTGCTTTTCAAGACTAAGATCTAGTTATATAGTGCTGTGCTTGCATTAAAGCATTCTGTGTTTTTATCAAGAACTTTGAGCCCGGACTAATTAATCTGGACATGATCAAATCGTCGGAGAATTTAACACTGCTTGATACAGAAAAAGAGTGCAAACCTCTTAATGTTCATGTAACCTATTACAATCTGTTGTCGTCAGTCGTTCGTCGGTCTTGAACATTTGAACATTTTTATCTTCTTCTCTGGAACCGCTGGACCAGTTTCAGCACTTTTTGACATATATCAATGGGAAAAGGGGAACAGAAATGTTGACTTTCGTAGTATCTGCTACCATAGGACCTTATGGGTGGGACCAAAACCATCAAAATTAAATATAGTCTTCAAAAGTCTCCTTCTTTACTCCTGGACATCATACGATCAAACTATTGGCATGATTGTAATTAGCTTTGAACCCTCTACCAAAGTTTTGAAAATCATGGCCTCGGGATGGGGGTTCTTGGTGTTAGGGTGGGGCCCCATTGGTCATATAATGAAAATGCATTCTTGTACTCTGCTCTGGGGTACTGAGCAGACAAACTATGTACATAGGTATGAGGAGCATGGATACCTCTTCCAAAATTGTGAAATTCATGGCCCCTGGGACCAGGAGTATGGTGTTAGGGCAGATACCATTGCTTGTATATTGAAAATGCACTAATTATCTGAACTTTGCTTCTTGGTATTAAGCAGACAAACTAAATGAAGGGTTATGATGCACACAGATGCCTCTTCCCAAAATTTGAAATCCATGGCCCCTGGGTCAGGGTTCTGGTTGTAGAGATGGGTACTATTGATAAAATTTTCTCTGCTCCCGTAGGTAGACTTGTAAGTAAGAAATATATATTAGACAAAAATACTTTTATAGATACTTTATATTTAAATTCATACTTTAATTAAAAAGCAAGACGGGATGATTGAACGGGCTTATGCTGAAGCACTATATTGTATTTAAATGGAAGTGCATGTAGCACTGACATATACAGGCAAGTAAATAAATCTACTTTCAATGGTGTTGCAGATTACCATTCTGAGACAAACTCCTTTGATGACCATTGATCGCTTCATTACTTTTGTTTGTGTGCAACATACTTTCCCCTTTCAGTTTAGTTTGCTTTGTTATGTGATTTATTACCAAAAAAAATTGCCATTCTATGGATCCTTTACTTTATCATACTCAGGTGACCGTCAAAGCCCTTTGGACTCTTGTTACGATTAGTTATAATTTTTGAAAGATACGTTTGTTCATTTTGTCTTTTAAAGTAAGGTGAAGCAAAAAATGAAAAATGAAAAAATGCACCACGTTTGAAACGGATTTAAATATTTGAACAATTTACATTATTATCATGATTATAGTGTTATTGTCTTGATTTTGCAGAAGGACGAGTCTCCTGAAAGTAGTCAACGAAATCTGAAGCCAAAACCTAAATTGCGACAAAGTGGTAAGTTAAACAGTTCTTGTAATAACCTCGGAGTCCTCCTTTAATTTTTATTGAATTGTTTCGATAGCTATTAAACTATAGCTAATGCTCGAAATAATTGAGAGGGAAGGCGGGCAATTGCCTGAGATCAGCTTCAGTTTTATAATTCATATTTATAGGCGTTTTAAATGGAATTTGTATAACATAATTTTTTCTACTCTCTGATTTATACTAGCGGTGGTACATGTACTTGAGAAATTGAGAATATTGCTTTATTTTATTGGAATATATGAGATTACATTTTGTTTTTCAGATTACAATCCCTTAATGGGAGGAGGGGGTGCTGGTTACAGGCCGGCCAGACGAAGTGGTGGTGGATGAGGCTAACTTGTGTATCTGTGGAACAATCACGTGATTTAAACAGGTCACGTGAAGAGAGTTACCCGGATACATTGAATTATTGACACGATGCCCCTTGATTTACTTCCCCTTTTTACCAAGAATTTACTACTTTTGAATGCGGAATAGGATGGCAAAATTGCTTCAATTATGCAAATAACACTCAGGAGTTAGGAATATTTGTGTTATTAAGGATTGTTTCAACATATAAACGTAAGAGTTTATAGGTAGATTTTTAGTATTGGCGGTGAGGTGTAAATTAGCTGAAGGAAAATTGTGGATTTTTACGGTGTTTAAAGAGCACGGACACATTAAACCGATAATCGTAAAATGGGAAATTTCACCGGCGGCGACTGCTCGAAAAATAAGGCGAGTCTGATTGATTTCATAATTCCAATACTTTGCACTTTGTAATTAAATTTTATATCTAAATAATAGGGCTGATCTATTTTATCATTTCCACAACTAATAAAAATGTCGTTCGTATACGAGAATGAAGATTCTCCGAGGGAAAAATGTTTCTTAGGATTGTACATTTTTGGAAATCTTAAATAGTTCTCATAGAAAAAGAAATATATGAATATTGCTTTTAATTATCTTTTGTAAACAAGGGGCTGTTATACACTAACAATGTAACTTGATATATATTCAAGTGTTTATGAAGTGTTATCTGAAAAGAGACACACGTCTCCAAGATAATGTGGAAGAATGTACATTGTTTTTGTATCACAACAAAGATACTATGAATTATTATTGTCATTTTTTGTCAAATAAATGTCTATTTATTTTTTAGTGATTGAGTTTTATTCTTAGTAAAAAAAAAAACTCAAGTGAATTTTTTTGGTCGAAGTAACTTAAAGGTTTGTTGACTTTTCACACTTTGGACTTCAACTCCTGAGTCATTAGACTAATTTCAACCAAACCTGGCTTAGCAAAAGAAGAAATTATAATAAAAATTGGATTACACAATCCCGAAGACAAATTATTAGTGAAAGCTTACTTAAATGTAGATTCACTATGAAGTGTTGATTCCTTTTTTGTGGCGCGATAGGGAACCATTATTTTACAAAGGAATATGTACATTGTATGGAATAATCCTGAAAGGTTTTCTCACGAACTTTCGTAGAAAAATTCGTCAAATTGACATGAAAGCATTCCTACATGTGTATTTGGTATTTGGAGAAATTAAATTTCTTTAAATCATGCCCCCACCCACCCTTTGGAATAAGGTTACTACTATTCTTAAAAATAAAATTGTTGAAACCATGGCCATATTGCTTGTGACCAAAGTAAAGATTTTTTCCATATATTCATTTGTCAGGAAAAGAAATATGTGTCAGATTGGGTCTTGAGAAGTAATAAACGTGATTGAACCTGTTGAAATATTTTTATCGATTTATTATTAATTTTGTTATTTGGTCAAGAAAAGAAACCAATTAGCACATAACGTGAGAAAAAGTTATCGGATGACCTGTCATTTTGACATGAGCATTCGAGAAAGAAAATAAATTCTTAAAATAACTACGTATTTGACCCTTCTTGACAATGTTGATGGTACCAGCAACACTACGCAAAGTTCACTCTTCAAGCAATCTAATGGAAGGCTGAAATTTACACCAGAACTTGTGAAACATTCGTACATGTACCACAGAATCTTCACAGATTACGTTCAGCGAAACTTTTTTGAAGCATATTTTTTGTTTGTCTATGATATAACAAAAAGGGAGATTTTTCGGGAGTTCTATTTGCAGCAAGCTTAAAGATTATTCTGCTTTTTTCATATAGACGCACTCAACACATTGGCACATATTAAAGAACTGCGAACGATAGTATTGTTCTCCCGCCTACCTCCAAGTCAATTTTCAAAAGTGAACACATTTTAATGATTTTCATATCTATATAGATATTTATATGAATTTTCATAAAACTTTGCTTCTTTGGGAAAACAAAGAGAGATAACTCTATAATTTTGGTAAAACTTGTGTTTTTCACTATAGAAATCAACAGAAAACGGAAAATATTTTTAAAACACCCCCCCCCCCCTGTGAAACAAACTTTCCTTTTAACAGGTAATATGGACTGTTATTTCACAAATTCATACCAAAGCTTTTTGTTTTTCACGGGGGGGGGGGGGGGGGGGGCATATGTTTACAGACAAAAAACAACAAAAATGCTTATTTTTTCACCAATTTCAAAGGGGGTTACAACTAAAACATTGTATTTTATTAATAATATATGTTTGATTTTATCTGAGAAAAACATAAGAAAATATTTAAGGAACATTTATTCATCTCCAAGAATATTTTAAAATGTGGTGAAACTTTAAAACCCGATTTCAGTGAAAAATATCGTCTACCCCCCTTATTTAAAGAGCTGGAATTAGGGGTAATTAACTATTTGACACTGGAATTAAAATTATCAGTCAATTACCATTGAACTGTTCTTTGCATTCAACAAAGATTTTAAGGCCATATTGCCATTAGTATTGAATTAAATGGGTGTAGAATGTATGCGGGAATCGAGAGTTAGCGTGCGTAGTTCTTTGATAATCCTGCATAAACTTCTAGTAAGATTCAAAATATGGAAATAAACTTCACTTGGTGGCGAGGAAACATTTGTCTTGATCATCCGTTAGATAGTGTGTACTGTGTAGAAGAAAACGGATTCCCTGTTATTTTGAAGAGCATTTGAATTTACCTGAACAGAAGATACATGTATTTAATTTATAGATTTAATTCCGTGAAGATTTTGTTTGATTTGAGGGTGAATTAAAAAATAGCGACCGGCATTGAAACTTTTTGAAAAAAGATTCAATTTGCCATAACATAATTTTTTCAGTTAGAACATCATATTGAATATACATTCTAGTAAAAAAAAAAATTCCAAAATTACAATAAAATTCAAAAAATGCTTAAAATATATACATTATACATGTACAGTTAAATTTTCAAAATTTACAATTAAATTGATAAATGCATTAAAAAAAAATCAAAATTTTTATTTGTAGAACTTCATCTGAAGACAGAAAATATGACTACATTATAAAAGACTATTAACTACGTAATCAAAAGAAATTGTGGTTTTTTTTTTTTTTTATCTTTCAGACTTGTTTCAGGAATATAAATGATTGGATCTAAGCCTTGAATGGGTTTCTCACTTTGTATATGTGAAAAAATTGCTTTTAATTTGCTATTAAACATTAATTGTCTCAGTTCTGGTTTAAAAAAGTTTTGATATGAATGAACAATGATGTAATGAATTCTCTTTTTTTCAATTTAGTCAATTCTTCAAATCTAAGCCCAAACAGAATTTTGATATGGTAAGTTTAAAAAATACTAGATTTTGAAGTTATTGTATTTTACCTTATTTTGTTTCACTCCTGACATTGGTATGATTTTTTTTTATCATACATTGTTTAAAAATCTTAATACACAATTTGTAAAGCAGTTCATTTTTGATATTTTTTATCATTTACGGAAAGATTTTATATTTTCTTGACTTCAAAATATGCTTATTTGCTTATGTAATATACATTTTAAAAAATGTATGCCTGATCTGTGAATTGACTTAAAATATCCAAAAGTGTCAGTGATTTGTAGATTAACTAGTACATACCGATTTCAACTACAAATAGTATAAAGCATTTTCCATAATTTATTATTGCAGTTAAGAGAGGTGAAGTTCATTGATAATTTCAAAACAGCTTTGTTGCACTCCTGACTGCAGTGAGATTTAAAATTAAAACCACAAAACACAAAAATTCATAAAATTTTGGAAACATCAAGTTGTGATGAAATTGTGCAGTATCTATAGTCCAATGGTTAAAAAGCAGAAAATTGTTTAAACTTGGCTTTATATAACAAATTATTTTATAGGAAATTTTACTTCGTGGAACAACCATTGTTAGCAATTGAGGTCAACCAGAAACATTCCACTCATCAATTTTTGTCTGTGTTTATTCAAATGTAATCACTAATAATTCTAACATTTTGTTGCACTCTTGACCAAGAGCACGCAAGACTTTCAAGTAGAATTGTGAAGCATAAATTACGTCAGAACATGGATCCATTGTTTCAGTAAAGATATGGTGCAATTATCTGTATTTAGTTACAATTTTTTTTTATCAGTGTTGTTTTTAAAATTTCTTCAAAAATTAAAAGAAAAGATTAAAAAAACATCTGCATTGATGAAACTGGAAAAGGACAGATTTCTATACTAAAACTGTAATAGATTTAGTACCAGATTATTCAAATAGATGCTTATTAATCAAACAATACTTAATTGTATGAATAGGAGTATGTTTATCAGTGAACTTGAATCTATATAACAATGTGTTGCACTCACTCCTGACCGTGGAAATATGGATCTGAAACAGACAGATCCTGTAAATGATAGATTTATTTGATAAAAATGTTCCTTTTGTCTTTATTTTCCAAGAAAAAGAAAGCAAAACGTTATATACTTATTAAAGTTTTTCCCAAGTTGAAAGTACAGCAAATCATCAAATGTTGCACTCCTGACGTAAATGGGTATCCACAGATATTTGACTCTCATTAATGCTGCTTGTGATTCATATAACATTTTAAGCCTTTACATGGCCTATCAGTTATTGTTGTGCACTTTTAAAATTCCTCTTTTTTGGACTTAAAAGGTATACATTGTACATATTTTTAGATTCCATATTTTTAGCTCTACTGACCAGAAGAGCTTATGCGATAGTAAGGTGTCCGTCGTCCGTTCGTCTGTCTGCCTAGCTGTCTGTTTGTCCGTCCGTCTGTAAACAATTTTTCAAAACACTATTCCTCCTACAGTTTTGGTCTGATTTCAATATAACTTGGCACATAAGTAGACTACGCTAAGATACATAAATCTGGATCGGTTTTTAATTTCAATGAACGTTGTTGTCATGGTTACTAAAAATAGAGATTTCTGGGAAATACTTTCAAAACGCTACTCCTCCTACAGTTTTGGTCTGATTTCAATATAACTTGGCACGCAAGTAGACTACACGAAGATACATAATTCTGTGTATCGGTTTTTGATTTCGATGAACAGTGTTACCATGGTTTTTCGATGAACGGTGTTGCCATAGTTACTAAAAATAGAAATTTCCTTGAGATAATTTCAAAATGCTACTCCTCCTACAGTTTTGGTCTGATTTCAATATAACTTGGCACACAAGTAGACTACACAAAGATACTTAATTATATTTATTGGTTTTTGATTTTGTTTAATGATGTTGCCATGGATACTAAAATCGAAATTTCTGTAAAATTCTTTCAAAAGGCTACTCCTCCTACAGTTTAAGTCTGATTGCAATAAATCTTGCCACAAAAAGAGACTAAACCAAGGATCATTATTCTATTCATTGTTGTTGCAAAGTTTCAAGTCCAAGTGCTACTTTTATCTTCCTTCGTTATAAGTACAAACCAGTAGAGCTACAGTCTCGTCAGAGACTTCTGGGTTTTTTTTTTGGCATCATTACATTTTATCTGTTGCACTCCTGACATGGTATAACATTTTGTTTCAACATTAACCGTGACCATAACTTGGTCAAACACAGTTTACTTCGTCTAAAATTAAAGCATCATATATTGAATTTAATTATAGGAAACTCTATATTTCCAACATAAAGAATTATTATTCATTTAACAGATCTTCAAATATTATGGAAGTTTCAAAATGTCACAAAAAGTTGCTGCATCCCAGAAATTTTTAGCATCATTTTTGGATATAACTTTTTTGTTTATTTTGATACAAATGAAATATTTAGCCAGTATCAAAAGACAGAT